TATTATTATTATTATTATTATTATTATTATTATTATTATTATTATTATTATTATTATTATTATTATTATTATTATTGCCTTGTTTACACATATAATTAGGATCTTATAATAATTAAATCATAATTAGATAATAAAAAACTTAGAACTGAAACTTACAAATTTTGAATATGCTCATCCTATTACAGAAGAAACATCTCAAATCTCTAATTTATCAAAACTTCTTAATTGGTTAGCATCAGAAAAAATGAAAAGTCATGATTACATGCGTAAATGTGAACTGTTTAGGTCCAAAGTTTTATATATTTTTTAGTTTTTAACATAAATATGTATTAAATATGTATTTCTTTATCTTTTATGAAAATATTAATAGTTTTGGAATGCTTTATAGGAGTTATGTTATGAAAAAATACCTTATGAAGGCCTTAAACCTGAAAAGGTAAGAGTAAAAGTTCTCAATGGTAAAAGAGAAAAGTTTATAATAGGTAAATAGAAGGCAACCAGAAGATAAGAAAATCCAAAAAAAATTTGCAAGAATTATTAAGAAAGGTAGGCACTATTAACTAAGTTTATATATTATTTACTTTTATTTTAAGTTATTATTTGTTTTCATTAAGCATAGTATGATGAACTACAGATGTGAATTAGTATCTTAGCATTATTTTTAGAATTATCAACATTGAAAGCAAATTATGTTAAGGCAGATTATTCTTATGGACTCCTTCCAAACAAAACCATAGATTTAAACGGAATAGATAGTGTTTACATCGAAATGACAATGCCAAATATTGAATTCAAAGAATTAGAATTTGATAATAATACTTTTGAAACTATCTTGCCTCTTAAAGAAGACATTAATCTTCATAATATAAGTAATGATGAAAGTATGCAAAAAGCTTGGTGATGTTTTGTAGCAAATGCAGATCTTGGAAATCCTATGACAAAATTCTGAAAAGGTTATTATCTATCTAAGGGCTATGTTACTGATAAAAACCTAGAAGAAGCCAAGCTACTTTTTAAGAAAGCAGCTAATTATTGGCTTTCAGATGCCCAATTACACTATGTGTTTACCTTAATTGAAGATATAAAGGATTAAGAAAATCAAAAGGAATATTTAAAATATTTGAAATTATTAGTGGATCAGGGAAATAAGAAAGCAGAGTATTATTTAGGTAAATTGTATTTAAAGAGAAGTATCATTGAAGTTGATCGAGAAATTGAATTAAATTATTTAAGACTGGCAGCTTTGAATGATCATGTAAAGGCTTGAGAATTTGTAAAAAAAGAAAATATTGACATTTAATTTATTTTTTTAAATATTAAAATTTTATATCATAAAGTTCTTATTTAAGTATTTTTGGGTTTAATATTTAATATTAATTAAAATCATATAATACAGTATTATGATATAAAATTAAAATGTTCTGTAATTTAAATTTTGATGACAAGTTATAGTTATTATATTAAAAATTCATTTAGTTTTATAATGCTAAGCGTTATATAAAAAAGTTTAGCCCTGCAAATTTAGTTATTTATTTTTGATAACAAGGTATAGTTATTGTATTAATAAGTAGCTGCGCAATGTTGTCATGCGAAACCAGGAACAGAAGAAATCTATACAGACACCATTTTAGGCATGAGAAACCATATTCTTTATTGCAATCCATTCCTGGTATAAGAAAATGACTTTTTATAAAAGAAGTTGATATAGTATGAGACAGTAAAAGACATTCAATCAATGCATATAGGCGCCAATTTTTGGTGCTTATATAATTAATTCTGATTGGCTAATTTTTGTGTAATTGATTTTGATTGGTTAAAATATATATATTTTTTCTTTTTTTTTATATTAAATGCCAATTTTTTAACCTCAGATAAACTTTAATCCTTTATAACTTTTTTAAAACAAAGAATAAAAAAAAATCTTCTGTCAGAAATTTTTTTAAAAATTTATCAATTTGTCAGAGGTTTTTTTGATTTAACCTGTTTTAAAAAAGTTATAACACTTCAAAGTTTTTATTAATAAATATTAGATGTCTTTTACTGTCCAGTATTATAGCACTTGTAATCTGAATATTAGTTTAAATTTCAGTAACTGAGTCTAAAAACTTATTAATGAAGTTAATGTCTGACTGCTATATAGTTGTTAGCTAGCATCACTCAGTTCTGATGAATCTGATTCAAAATTCTAGAGTTCTGCAAAAAAACATTAAAAATTTATGAAACATATCTGTATTTAGAAATGATTAACACATTCTTTTGATTAAGTCCTTGATTATTATTTTATCTGCCTAATAAAAAATTCAATGAAAAAAAATGAAAATTACTAAATATTTAGCATTAAGGCTTTTAAATTTATATTGAGACACTAATTTTTGTATCTAAAAAACTTATTTTTATTATTGTTTGTTATAATATCTTTGATTTCACAGATGTATGCACTATAACAAATTAAAAATATTTATATATCAATTTTTATTAAAAGTTTTTTTTAAAAAAATATATTTTATTAAAATTTTATAAATAAAAAAATTTGTATAACAAAAACTAGAAAGTAATTTTCTAACAAAGATTTAACAATTATTATAAAACACATCTATAGTGTTTTACATCTACTGTAAAATTATGAAATAACAGGCATGAGTATTATTTAGAAAATTATAAAACCAGAGGTGTGGCAACCTAGTAAAGTGGTCAGGTTGTCAACCTCCAAGTGGCAAGTCTAGAGTTCAAATCCTATAAATGACGATTTTTGGAAAATAGGTTTGTGTTATGGTAACTGTCTTTGTCAATCAGTTGGATTAGTGTATCTATAACCTTTGTTGCACTATCTTGAATAGAAGATTGGGGCATTTATGCTAAGTGTGACATTATATCTACATAGAGAAATATTAATAACCAGTGTTGCATAAGATTTCGGTACAAACCCATGATAAAACCACTAGGTGTAGAAAGCAAAAGCACTGAAGAGTCAGAAACCTACTTGGAAATTCCAAGTAACAAGATAGCACAAAACTTTTAACAGTGCTGTCGGACTAATAGAAGCCCATAAAACACCCCCAAAGAGATAGGCAGATAAACCGGATGGCAAAATGTATAGAGGAGCATATAACCAACTAGGTTACTGAAATTGCCAAAAGAAAAGAATACTAAGGTATACTATACCAGGCCATCTGGATTGAAAGTCTGAGAAGTCCTGTCAGTCCTGAGTAGCAGTTAGTAGGAGATGATAAAAAGAACATTGGAAAAATGAGTATTAGGGTTTTGAGTGAACCTTACAAGAGTAAAAGTAGTTTAATGGTTAGCCCTAACTGCAAGTGATGGTTTAGGCCAAAGTGTAACCAGGTGAGCTGTAAGTATAGGATACAGAATGCACTGGTAGGTTTGGTACAAAGTTAAACATGACTTAGTAACTATAGCATATCTTCATCAGTTTACCAGAGTCACTAGTAGGGTGTGGTGAATGCAGGATCAGAGTGTTTAAATAGAGGATCTATAGGTGGGTTCTAGGTATAGCAACTAGTGTAGAACCTTCAGACAGACTACTTAAATTAGATAATGACTAAAGTTGTATGAGTGGCTAGTTGTACACTCTTTCTGTAATTGCCTCTGTGTCTGTATATGTACAGGCACTAGCCAACTTATAGTATTAGTAAAATCCTGGGTTGCATATATTCATCTTAATATTTAAAAAAAAAAAAAAAAAAAATTGTAAAACCTAAAAATAATATATATAATTTCAAAATAATACCCATGCATGTGCTCCTAATAATGCACATTCTACATTTTTAATTTATATTATTTATAGCAGGTTAAAACTAGTTTTGTTTTATATATTAAACTATTAATCCAGATTTTTTTCTTTATTTTTTTAGAAATGCAGTATAATCTTTTAAAGTTGTTGAAACATGTACTTTATTATAAGTGTATTACTAATATTAATACTTATTTATAAGCATTTACAAATGAGTATATATATATTTAGTATGGTACAATAGTTTAGTCAGTACTGTATATGATCTGTACAATTATAAACATAATACCAAATTCCAATATAGCCTTCTGATCTCTGATGCAAACTATGCAAGATAAACTGTACAATTTTTTTTACTTTATTCATTTGTATTTGCTATTTATATTTTGAGTTGTTCTTATTAAAGTAGGATAGAAATTGATTTTCAAAATTTTAAAAACTTATAGAATCGATTTTTTCAATAGCTATTTCATAGTTATTTTAAAATATGATAATTAATATCTTAAACTAAGAAAAAAAACATCAATATAGCCTATATTGAAAGAATAATATAATAGTCAATACTCTTTATAATAAACTATTAGTTCTGAATGTAAAAAAAAGTTTGTTATATAAAGTTAATATGTTTTCTAAAACAAAAATTTTCTGAAAATTATAAGATCAGAATATATATTATATACTGCATATTTAAATGCTTTTTAAAATTTGTTTTATTTAATTGAACATTATAGATCAGGAGTATTCATCTAATTCTTTACTGATAAAAAAAAACAATTAATAAAAAAATAATAAATAATGTATTATGCAACAAAATTATTTAATAATTTATCTAAACTTCTAAAATTTTATATTTTTTGTTAAATGATTTATTATTTTTTTTTTCATATACTAGTATAATATTACTAATTTATATAGCATCTAAAAGTATTACCTATAGTATATAATGGCTTTTATGACCTTCAAATTTTAGAATGCAATAACTTGAGAGTTATTCTAAGTTCTTAGTCTAAAATATATACATCTATTAAAATAGTATGCATAGTTTAAAATTATTAATTAAAATCAATAATAAATTATTTTACCTATATAATTAATCTATGATTCTGTATTTGAATCTTATAAATATCTTTAATTAATAATATAAACTAACAAAAAAAAAAGTATAAATTTTGTACTAAAATTCATTTATTTTGTTTATTAATTTCTGTTACTAATCAACTTCTAATATATTATTAGTTTGTATTAATTCATAACTATCTACAAAAACCAAATCATCATCAGTTATACTTTTACTATAATTAGTTAGTTCATTCTTATTTGACTCATCTAACTCATAAATTATCTATCTCATCTGGTTTACCCATCTTATCTGGTTCATCAATTTCATTATTATTATTATGATTGGGATTATTTTCCAAAAGTGCACTTTTTTTAATTAATAATTCATTTAGATAATTTTTAACAATAGCTTAGAAGTGCCTTAACATTTTATAATTCTCACTACCATTAGGATTGAGTATAAGTCCAGTTAATTCAAAAGATTTAACTAAGATATTTGAACTAATTTTCTTTCATGTTTTAGATACTTATTTACAAATATACTTATATAATGTCTTTTTTGGATTTTCTTTTTTAGTATACTGCTTTTTTTCTTTATCTATTCATTTTTTCTATCTTTTTTTATTTCATTTTTAAAAAGCTTATTTAATAAAACATCTAGTAGTTGTAAAATACTAGTTGTTCTACCAGAAATTTCTAAAACTTCTAAGCCTTCTGTATTAAATGTCTTAATTATTTTATCATAATTATGACTAAGGTATTCATTAGCAAAAATTATATCTTTACTCTTAAAAAAACTATTTGGTCTTGCCTGAATTACCTGTAAGATATAAGTAAAAATTATTAAATTTCTTGTTATATTTGCAGAAGATATTGTTGTAATCACAATGTTCTATAAAAATTTGCCTCTTGGTTTTTTTTTTAGTTTGAATATTCTTGTTGGTAGGAGTTTTTCTTTAGCAGCTATATAGGCCAGAACTACTGTAAAATGTATTTTTTCAGTTTCTATAATCTTGATTAGAACTTTACAAATATCCTAAAAGTCAAGTATTGAGATCTATAGCATGTTAAACCATATTGGTGTCTTATTAAAAAATAAAATAAATTTTTTTTTAATGTTGAACATTTTATTATACACGATTTAAAGAAAGTTTTTAATAACCAAGAGCTTGTCTTTAGAAAACTTTTGTACTACTTGGGTTTTAACATGGATTACTAATTTATTTCATTGTTTAAAATGATCAACCCAATCCTGCGAAAATTTAAAATCTCTAATATCTTGA